CCTGCTGACACAATCAGAGCTTCGAAAACTATTTGCCCTCATAACAACTGTTAAAAGAATCATTCTTGCTATTACGAATCCTGTGCCTAATGTACCAACAGGAGTATCAACTAGTAATTAAGTAAACCATGCCTTCTGTGCCTACTGTAACTATTTATTAGGCGCACTTGTAGGCGGGACTTGTGTAGCAATTCTCGGGCCAGGTGCTCTCGGCGCGATGTGCTGGCACACTCCCACGACCACACGCGGAGCCGGGGAGAAGCTACCCTCCTACTGTACAGGTCTGGGAGGAGTCTGGCGGCGCTGCTCGCAATCGCGCAGGGTGGGATGCAGCCGCGTTGATCGCTGAGCACTGCGGCGCCGTTGGTTTTCTCACGGCGGAGCTGGACGCGCGCGGCCGCGATGAGCTGGGAATTGCTGCTGGCGCTGGTGGCGCTGCTCGCATTTGTGGTGCAGCTGCTGTACTTCTTGCGAGCCGATGGCGACCTAACCCTGCTGTGGGCCGAGTGGCAGGGGCGACGCCCAGGTGAGGACTTTTAGACGCACACTCGGGCTCCGTGCAGCCGAGTCTCTGCTGCCTCTGCATCTCTCTGGGTGGCGTGGAGCTTCCACGCGGCAAGGCTGAGCCTTTTTCAGGGGCTGCGGGTCAGGGAGCTGGTTGCCAGAGTAAGACAGCATTGGAATTGGCGGGGCGCCCCCAGGACCCTGAATTTTTACCGGGGTCCGGGAGATTCTGATGCAGTGTCGGAAGATGGTACTTTCAGAAGCGGCGCGCGTCTCCCTGATTTGTAAGGGAGCCTGCTTCTGAGGACTGGAGCTCCGTTTTTCTGCCCCCCAGAAGTTGTTTATCCTTCACTTCTCACTCTCCTGGAGTTTTGCAATAGCAAAATTTGAGGTTGTCAACGAAAAGAAGACCTGAACTTCTGTAAATTTAGGAAAAGAGTTTTGATTTGGGCCAGAGAATATGCCCGAGAGCAGAGCTCCAAGAAGCCTTGAAATGGTGCTGTAACTTGGAAAAGTGAGGGCTGCTTATGTAAGTAGAGGGGTAAGCGAGAAGTACATACATTTCAGTGATGGACGGTTTTATATCAGGTGGAAAAGATGTACAGATAAGGTTGAGTCGTGCCCCCTGGCATCAGGGGGTCTGAGAATAGAGTTTGGAAACATTTATTCTTCAGGGCACACTTTTAATCAGGATGCAAAAGGAACAGGCACTGCTTTCTGTAATCATTTATTTCTCATGTTGAAACTGTTGATTGTTAATTATCCCCATGGAATGAGCCCAGGAATCTGAAAGGCTCCTTATTTATTCTCTTTTGGTTACTGATTTTTAGTTAGAGCAGTTAAAACACCCTTTCTTTCTCAAAGTGATCTGGAGTTATCCACCCACTCACTCATTGGAACACAAAGTATAACCCTAGAAAGAAATGGGTGGGCATTTGCTTGGAGCAAGTTCACTATTGGTACACTGAGTAGCATTGCTCCTGTCCTACTTGTATCTGTGCCCTGCTTAATACTAGATGTTCATTTACATACAGAACACACTCTATGTGCTAAGCATTGTGCTTGACCTTTTAAACATGAACCTTTATCCTTTACAATAACTCTTACAAGGTAGGCTTTATTAATCGTATCTTCCAGGTAACAAAATTAATTTTCAGAGAAATTTAAAGAGCTTCCCAAAGCTAGGTTTTGAATTCATTATGGCTGGGGGAAGTGAGATTTCCTTGGACTAAGTTTCCTATATGAAAATACTCATCACGTGAGAAGGTTTGCTTGGAAGTGATAGTATGCTTAAAAATGGGGCCAGGAGGGAAGGGGAGCCCTATAGCTTCCATAGGGGTGAAAATTGGTTCTTGGGGACCAAAAAAGAAATGTACAGCTCAACCCTACCCTCAAAATCTTTTTCCTCAGTATTTCATTTCTCTCATGGATTTTTTTTTGGGGGGGTGGGCAAGGGGAATATAATATGTGCAATTTTGATGTTATTGAGTTCATAGAAAATATACTACACATACCCAAGGTCAGTGCTCTGGCAAAGTAGCATGGTTGGCTGACTTTCACTTAATCATTAGCTCCATCTCAGCAGATGGAATGCACTGTGCCTACTGGTTGCCATGTGGATGTTTGTGTTTGATCTTCAGTGCTTTTGTATTGACTTGGACTTTGAGAATTATATAAGAATAGTTTACATTTTATTATTTAATTCTACAAAAATTATTCAACCCATTAATTATGTCAGGAGCTGAAAAGGAAAAACTTTGACAATATTTAGCAGCTAAATTAAAAGTTATTTTCACGTATTGAGCAAAAGGTAAAAGTTAAGGTGACTAAACAAATTTTAAGAAGTTTATTTAATTTTTTTCAATCTTTTCATTTTACTGGAAAAACAAAAGTTTTTGAAGGATTTTTAACAGATTGCTACTATTATGTAGTCATATAATCTGCTAATTTGCATATTTTTGATTACATTACCATTTATCTAAATAAATACATTACATTAAAAGTTATTCAGCAAATACAGTCATAAAATTCAGTTGAATGTTAATAGTTTTTAACTTAATTTTTAAATTTAGCCATTCTTAAACCTGCATCGACTGAAGAGTAAACTTTATAGAACTCCTTATGTAGAAAGCACAGATATATGTACAGTACATAGATATACAGTATATCTGTGGAATTAAAATTTCATGGAAGAGTTATTAGGGAATAAAATGACTAAAAGGACTCCTGGGGGGTGGGGGTGGTGATGAATAAAAGTTAAATGAACGTGGAGATAGACTCAGATTCTCCAAGCAGCTCAGACTAGAAAGATGGGCAAACTCTATCAAGGTGAAAAATAATTTATCCTCCTTATCTTCTCAATAGGTTTGTTACTTTTTGTTACTTTTAAAAATAGACAATATACTCACATAATAGAAAATTAAAAATACAAAAGGACATACAGTGAAAACTCAAGTTCTTTCCCACCTCTGTCACGCAGCCACAGTATGCCTCTCTGGAGGTAACCACCATTTCCCACTTTTTATGTATCCTTCTAGAGAAATTCTCTGCATTTCCAAACATATATCTCACATGATAACATTTAAGGTTGACTAATTTTAGATAATGCACTTTGATCTAGACAAAAGGTCCTGGCACAAGTCCAGGGTAGGAAGTCTCAACAGCAGTTTATGTGAGGAAAACGCAGGTTTTAGTTGACAGGAACCTCAATAGGAGTCAACTGTGAAGTGACTGCCAGAAAAAATTAGGCAAGCCTAGGAGATGTTTAGTATCTGAAGCAGCAAACTGCAAACAACAACAGATGTCTTCGGTCACCTGCTTGTATGTGTTACCTTCTGTGCTCTGCACTGGGGACATAGCAGTGACTGATCCAGCCACTGTCTAGGTCCTCACAGAGCCTGTCTTCTGGGGGACAAGAGGAGGAATTTAGTCAGCTGACCCTGTTCTGAATTGTCCAGACCCCATGAGAATCCTGTGTCCTGCTCTGGTTAGCTCTCTTCGATAGAGACATTGGCGAACTAGAGTTTGTGCAGAGGGTTGTGTGTAGAAGTGTGAGGAAACCTGATGCAAGCTAGCTTTACTGAAAATGAAATACACTTCTTATCTGGGAGAGTAGGCTGCCAAAAGTGGTCAACGTTGAAGTACATTTTCAGAAGAGAGAGCAGGCTGCCAAGTGCTTTGGGATCTTTTATTTTGCCTGCAAGGCTTTGGTTTGCCCTTCCTCTACAAGCCTTGACAGATAGGTGTTTTGTATAACTTTTCTGAGCATCTGTATACTCAGAAAAGTGCATTATGCACTTGGTTTGCCCATAAGGGGTTAAAACAGCAATGTAAAGTTATGATGATGTTCGTATAATGAAGCAGAGGTGAATTCTAGGTCACACTAGCTGTCCTGCACATGCCTATGTTGAGGAATTTCCCTGTCATTGCCTTGCTGTTGTGTCAGGTCCCACGGTTAAGTCTAGGCTATTTTTCATTTTGGCTGTCCTGGGAGGGCCCCTAGTGTAACTCTTACCTCAATCTGAGTGAAGGTAGCAGAAAGTGGAGGTGTTTATTTAAAGAAGCGAGAGAGAAGAGGACTTAGGGAGGACATAACAGCTCTCTCCAAAGACATAAGGGATTGTCATGTGCAAGACAGGCTCGATTTATTCTTTCCGAAGCCACAAAGCAGAACTGCGGCTAGTCAGTAGAAGTTAAAGGTGTCTTACATCACTATAAGAAAGAATACTTGAACCCCTTGAATGCTTAGATGGGTCCAAAAAAGGAGTGAGTGTCGCAGAAGTAACTAGCTTCCTCAGTCTGTGAGGGAATTAAGAAGAGACTAGTCAACAGCCTGAGGAGAGAATTCTCAAACTGGGTTGGGGGTTGAACTATGTTTCTTTCCAACTCTGAGAATCTGTTTTCAGAGTCTCTTAAGCAAAGGCCATTGGGTGTGTGTCAGATTCTGTGGAATTGGTAAACAAAAGTTGGTGCTAAATAAAAAAGTTTTTTTCTTCAGGGTGGGAAGAAAGATGCCAGAACTACAGGTGTACTAAGGTGAACATGAGCCTAGGGATTTTCATCATTGGATTTAAATAATATTTGCATATCTGGGTAAAAATGAAATGTTAGTTCTATGCTAGTTAGTAAATAGTTCCAAACAAACTATATTTACCTTAGAGTCTGAGTATTGCAGAACTTTGGAGCAATGAATAGTTGATGAATGAATAAATGACTATCTGAATATACATTCTGCTATTCCTGAGGAAGTCCTTCAGGAATGTGGCTCAATTGTGCCTTTCCATGATGATACCATATCATATGATAGGAAAGCATTGTGTCCTAGACGTAATATTTGGGATGTTTCTATCTTTAGTTCAGATATTTATATGAAACCTCTTTTCTGGGGACAAATTCCATTTTCCTGAATGGCTAAGGAACATTTGGGTCTAAAAATATTGATCATATTAAAATATGGGCACCACAGGCCAGTGGTCAGAGTATGGGCTTTGGAGCTAGATATACCTGGACTCATATCCCAGCTCTGCTAGTGTTCTTGGTTGTTTATTCAACAGTTGTTTATGAAGTCCTGTCTATGTTCCAGTGTGGTAGGCACTGAGGATACCAGGGTCCCAGCCTTAAGGGAGTTTACAGTCTAGTGGGATAAATTAATGTATGTAAAGCTAACAATTAATGTATGTAAAGCTAACTTTCCTTTTTTTTTTTTATAAAATGAGATAATTTTTATTTCACAAGGTTTTTGTGAGAGTTTTAATAAAGTAATATGTGTAAACACATAGGAAGTCATGAAAAAATGTTAAGCCATTATAGTTAGTAACCCCATGGCCCCTGGCTAGAGATATTGGAACAGACAAGTTATTGAGTTATTCTATGTTTTGCTGCTGAAAAGTCCATTTGTTAAACAATTTAGCAGCTGTTAGAGTTGACATTTTATTAAGCACTGAATATGTGTCAGACACTGCTCTGAGAACTTTACATGTTTTAACTCATTTTCTCAACAGTTCTACGGAGAAGGTTTTATAATTAATCCCATTTTCCAGTTGTGGAAAATTAAGGCACCAAATTCTCACACAGGAGCATTTCACTGCTGTGTGTGATGGAGCTGGGGTTTGAACCCTGGCAGTCTCTAGAGCTTGTACTGTCAACCCGATAGAGGTCTTAGAATTGCTTGACTAAAGCAGTAAACTAGTGTCCTGATTTTTAATTTTTCTGATCGAAAACCAGAAGTGTGTGTGTTAAGTGATACCTTATGTGTTATTTTTGATAACATATTTTAATAAATACAGCACACAAGAACATTGCACCACAGTGGCTCTATGAATTCAGAGAGAGTGGCTGTTATCTCCTGTAGTGCTAATGAGTTTTTCATTGGACCAAAGGCAAATAAACTCTTGTCATGGCTTTATTACTATAATGTTTTTACAGTATTTAAAAACATAATTGGGCAAGCAGAGTACAGCATTTTATCTCACTGTCATATGCGTTTTATCTTGGGTGAATTACTGGGTTCTTCTAAGGTGAAAGCACAGGCATTTGGAAAATACTTTTACAAAATGACCTTTACTTGATAGGCACTGGATATGATTGACATATGGGGAAAACATGACTTTAAATCTCCAGGATGGTTCCACCATACCATAGAGTAGAAATTAGCATATTCAGATTCATCATCAATACCTCCATTGTAGGAAATTAGAATAATAGAATTGAAAACTGGACGGGAACTTAAGTGATCATCTTATGAGTCCCTCATTTTATGGAAAAGGAAAGTGAGAAAGGACGGTCTACGCAGACTTTCTATTTACTTAGCCTTATTTTTCTCGATCAAATACAGAGGTAAGTAGAGCTTTGAAGTGAGACGGTGGAGTTATAAGGCTTACCTTGAAGTAAAGTCTGGAAAAATCATCCAAGAGTCTGGAATACACAAAATAGCGTGATAACTGTTACTAGTATGATTTGTATTCATGCTTTCTTTTTTTATTGGGTAGGAGTTGTTTTCTTAGGATATTTAATTTAAAAAACTTTAAAAAATTGCTTTATTGAGATATGATTATCACATAAAAAACTGTAGTTAATGCATACAACTTGATGAGTTTGTGGGTAAGTATACACCTGTGAAATCATCACAATCAAGGCCAATAACATAGGATATTAAAAATTTTAAGCTCTACACATTCTATCTTCATATTTAGAGGTATTGTTTAAAACACTTTTTTTTTTCTTGCTGACCTTTGATTATGGGTGTAATTCATAGTTTGTTTTCTCTCCTCAATCCTCACTCTTTTCTCAATAGAACAGGAGCTGACCAACAAGGTGATCTGGGTGACTGGCGCATCAAGTGGGATTGGTGAGGAGCTGGCTTACCAGCTGTCTAAACTAGATGTTTCTCTTGTGCTGTCAGCGAGAAGAGTACATGAGCTGGAAAGGGTGAAAAGAAAATGCCTTGGTAAGTAAATCTAAAACAACAGCAATGCTTCCTAGAAGTAAATCGGAATCCAAACTCAAATTCAGCTGTGGGAATTTCAGAGGAACAAGTGGGGTTTTCCTGAGCGGTATCATCTGGTTCCAAATGCTCCAAGTACTTTTGTCATTCTCTTAATTAGCCGCTCCTGCCTTTTTCTTCTCTCTTTCTGCTACCTTTCTACTTTTTTTTTTCCTGCACTGATTCTCGGCATTAGGGAGTGACCACCAATTCTCTCAAATGTCGGTGGATTTTTAGTAACCAAATGCCTTATATTTTTATCTTAGAGAAAGAATAGTTTGGTTCTTATGTATGACATCCATGTATGTAACCAGAAAAGTTAAATTAGAAAGGGTCCTGACTCATTTTGCTAAAATGTCAGATATTAAAGTCATATGAGATGGTATAAGATTTTTGTTAAAAAGGATAAAAGAACAGGAAAGGAATTAAATTTAAAAAATACAATTTGAGATTTTTCATGTTCATATATAGGGCAACAATTATTTTTTGTTTATTTGGGTTTTATTGTAATGTTCATATTTATAAGCAGCATCAAGTTATAGTTATTATTTTTCATGGGACATTTAGTATCTAAAATGAGGTAATTTTGAATTTTCCAGCAGACCATTTTTTTGGTCATCTGCCTGTTATTCTTTACAATTTTTTCTTTCAGAGTGCTGATGGAACTAACTACTTGGAAATGAGAGTTAGTTAGCAAAGCCACAATGCCTCTTTCATAATATTGCTTTCAAAAGCCTCTGGCATTTCTGCCCTGGGCCACTGCTTGTGGTAGTTGCTCCTCTACTGTTGAGACTTGCAGGTCCTACACTGGCAGAGATGAAGCATATTAGCATTTCTTAGATGGAATGAGGCTGTTTTCCTTTTATCTGTCAGATCACTGGTGCAAAGTTTTCTATTTCTTTTAAGACAGTTAAATGTTTCTAAATTTTACTCCTTTGCCCAAGAAGCCTTTATACCTCTTGTATTTTCTCTACTTGCTTGTTTTTCTTATTGGCATTACGTGTATTTCAAGGTTAGAGGCCAAGAAAATTAGTTTCTTTTTTTTTTTTTTAATGAACAGAAATAGAAAGGAACAGTATAGTATAGCTCGTTTGGTTGGGAATTTCAGGATTATATCCTTTTCCTTGTTTGCCTCCTGGAATCCTTATCCTCCAGAAGGAAATTTCTATGTGTTGAGTCACTGGAGGACTCTGAGCTTCTTACTGATTTTAAGCATAAGTAGTCTTTATTTTTTAATGTGTGTAAAAGGGCAGCTAAACTTTGCGAACCTATCATAAAACAAATGTGCCTTGTACTTCTAAGGAAAATGATCTAAAATTTTTGCTTTTTTAAGCATGTATTATAATCTTGACTTCTTCTAGAATCTATTCCAATGTTATACTATTTATATACAAAGTGAAGAGAGCCATTTTACTTCCTGTGTACCCAGCCAGCATTTTGTCCAATAGGATCTTGCCATATTACCATCAGCCCTCTTCTTGGTCACTGAAAGAAATTCTTCTACAGGGCCACCTTGTAGAAATGAGTTTGTTGCCAAGTCTGGTTGTAGGGTGGGTGTTAATGCGAGTAGCAATGATTTCCACAATAATTTTTAAATGTCTTTATTTAGAGAATGGCAATTTAAAAGGAAAAGATATACTTGTTTTGCCTCTTGACCTGAAGGACATGAGTTCCCATGAAGCGGCTACCAAAGCAGTTGTTAAGGAGTTTGGTAAAGTAAGTAGCATTTTGAATTGATGTCTTGCTTTTAAGTAGCTGCAAAAGAGAGTCCCGTCTGTAGTGCTATCATTCAAAGGGCTTTAGGCAAATGGATCCAGGCAGTGAGATCAAGGGATCAAGGCCCATAAGTTGGGCCTCCAAATCTGAGTTTTTGGCTTTGTGTAATTAGTACTTTTCATACCTTATCAAGTACTAACTCCTGCATGTAGGACAAAAGGAGCTAAAAATTCACTGTGCCTTTTATTTTTATGACATATTACTTTCCATAAAAAGTCACTTAAAATAGGAATTTAAGTCTATAGGCAAATTGATTTTTATTTTATCTTTTAATTGCTGACTTCTGGAAATACGCCATTCTGTTCCAGTGGTTCTTCAAGTTAACAATATAAGCAACCATCCCTAGGTATTCCCTCAGTCCATTTACGGGTCACCCCAAAATGCTCCTTTTCTAATATTTTTTTACTAGATCGACATTCTGGTCAACAATAGTGGAAGAAGCCATTGTTCTTGGTGTTTGGAAACCAGCATGGATATCTACAGAGAGCTAATTGAGCTTAACTACTTAGGGACGATATCCTTGACAAAGTGTGTTCTGCCTCACATGGTCAAGAGGAAGCAAGGAAAGATTATTACTGTGACTAGCATCCTGGGACATTTCTCTATGCCCGTTTCTAGTGCATATTGTGCCAGCAAACATGCTCTTCGGGTAAGGCTGCTCAAACTCAACTTTGATAGAACTGACTTAAGTGTTTATGGGGGATATGGTCATTACTGCAGGAGGTCATTGGAACTGGTCAGAGACCCAAGGAGACCTTTGGTAGAAGACATTCCAGAAGATGCTCAAAGACTTCAGCCTCACATACCTCTTCCTAATTCAACAAACATGTATTGAGCACCTACACTGTACCATGCACTACAATAGATCCTGGTGATATAAAGATGATAAGATATGGTCCTTGCTCTCAAGAAATATAGTCGAGTCCAGGGGTCTCCAACCCCTGGGCCATGAACTGGTACTTGCCTGTGGCCTGTTAGGAACTGGGCTACACAGCAGGAGGTGAGCAGTGGGAGAGTGAGCAAAGCTTTATCTGTATTTGCAGCCACTCCCAAGTACTAGCATCACTGCTTCAGCTCCAACTCAGGTCATCAGGCATTAGATTCTCATAGGAGCACTGGTCCCTGGTGTCCAAAAGGTTAGGCCACTGGTCTAGTCAACATATCACCCTTCGCCTTCTCAGTTCTACCATGTCTTCATGGCAAATTTGGGGTCTACCTCTCATTTCTTCTACACACACTTTAGGGTGTAGTTTTCTCCCCATTTCTGTGATTCTTGTTCTTTCCCCCTTTGTAGGTGGGGTTAATTTTACCTAGTCTAAACATAAAAGCATGTCAGAAATAGAAACTGCCCACTGGATGATTAGCCCTGGGCTTCATATTCTTACTGGGGCTAGCTTTGACTCTATTTACCTTGAATTCATTGGAAGAAGAAAATCTAGTCAAGGCAGAGGTTAGGAGAAAAGCTTGATTTGAGTTGCTTAACTTATGAGATGTGAATATTAGAAACAAGTGCATTTTTAATGTTGGCTAAGAGTAGATATGAAGAAATATTATTAAACTATAACATGGAACAAATTAAATCATAAGGCTAAGAGTAGGCAAATGATTAAAGGAGATACATAATTTGTAATTAATGCTGCTGAAAATCAGTTAATATAGAATGTTTCAGTGTTGGAATGATGAGATGCAATAGCCGAATGATCATTAGTTTTATAAAATTCGAAGCTTTGGTTCCTTCTTTCTGATGTAAGAAGCAGATATTTGATAAGAGTGATGAAATGGAATGTTACATTGATGATTTCCTTATATTTTGTAATAGGGTATCAGTCACTTCCTGCAGAGCAGTTGGGCAAGTCTCAGGCTGTTAGATAAGGGAAGGTGGCTGCCCCACCTGTTTGGCACCAAGTATCTCATAAGACATGCAAGATGCTTTCAGTCAAACAATATGGCCTGCTCTTCAAGACACTGTTACTGGATTTGATCCTCTGATACAATGCGGCAGGTTGAGAATAGTTAGTTATACTAGTAGCTGAACACTGGGACCAGAAGGCTCTTGGAAGAACACATTTCCTTCTCTGAATCCCATCAAGCTATAGAGTGAGCTTGTTTGTCTCTGAAAAGTTCACATGCTATACTAAATGTGATTTCAAACAAGGAGAGGTTTTACTGTGTGATGGATTGGCTCTCACAGTGTCCTCTCTCTTGCTAAAGGGGGAAACAGAAGGTTAAGGCTATGGGAGTTCATTCATTTAGGGAGCTTTTTTTTTCCCTATCCACCTGAGTCAGGCACTGTAGTAGTCTGACGGCATGAACCATCATAGGCTGTTTTTGTTAGGGATCAGCATTAAGGGCTGGTAATTATTTAATTTTGTTGGTTCATAAATGAATGTACCTTATTAGCTGTTTAGGCTTTTCAGTAGTTAGCTTATACCAGTATAGTCTTGGAACATTTCCTAATTTAGGAAAAGAGAAGAGGGGAAGTAGATGTTTACTCTGTATTTGGTTTAGAAATGGCCAGTATCTTTAAGTCTAGGGAGTCTTACTACCCAGAAAAGATGGATGTTGGCTGAAACTAATTGTTAAAATTTTAATAAAATAGAAAAAGTTGAATTCTTCCTCAGTGAGAGTTTCTGTTGAGTACTAATCCCCTCTCACTCTCTCTTGCCCCAATATTAGTACGTTAGACCACTTGGAGGGGTAGAAGGAAACCAAACCTGAGTGATGCTCAGTGGAGAACATGTACTCCTTTTGGAGTGGGGAGATGGGGATTAGATTAGTGTAAGGAGTGTGTATCAGAATCTCCAGGGGGTAGTTTTTCACCTATCTAGCACTTACCATAAAAATCACTGATGGCATGAGCCACCACTACCAAAGAGGTGAATCATTCATACCCGGAAAGAGCTATGAATGCCAGTTCTAGATTGCCTCCAGTCTTACAGTTAAAAATGCCTAATAAGCCTGCACGATTACGTTTCCTGTCCTTTACTCAGGTATTTCAGAACATACTTCTATAATGTGCTATTGTCCTTCATCAAATGTTGAAGTAATTTCATGCTAATATACTTATCTGTATTTTAAAAAAATTTCCTTTCTTCTTTTCTTTTTTCTTTTTGCTTACTAGGGTTTTTTAAATTCCCTCAGAATTGAACTTGCCACATACCCAGGTATAGTAGTTTCTAACATTTGCCCAGGACCTGTGCAATCAAATATGATGAAGAATTCCTTAACTAAAGATGTCACAACGGTAAAAATTTTTAGTTGGGGTATAATTTGAGTGGTTTAGTAGTTACGTATTGGTGTTATATAA